TCGCATACGCCAACGAGATGCGATGCTGGACGATGCTGTGCGCCATGGTGGAGGCCACGTACGTCTCGCACGCAACCTCGACCAAGTGGGCGAGTGCGATGCGGGCGTTGGCTGAGAGCACGATGGGGGGGCGTTTCTTGTTATTTGGCGCCAAAGTGACGACGCGGGTTGTTGGCGCGTAGCAGCGCAACGAGACGGGAATCACGCAGCTGCAGGCGAGCGAGCTAGCGTGCAAGAGCGCGACGAGTCCAAAGACGTATGCGGAGAGCTTCATGTAGGCGCCGCCAAGTAGCACGGTTTCGGTTGGCGCCGCAATGTAGTGCAGGAGTGCGAGAGCAGCAAAGTAGACACTCGTGACAAAATGCTGAAGCAGCACGAGTCCTCGCAGCGCGACATCAACGCCGGTGACCCAAACCACGTCGGTCTCGAGCCAGCCTCGGTCATCGCTAACGTTAGGACTCACGGCCGACATGAGCAAAAATAACTTGCGTTGACGTTTCGAATGACACCCGATACGATCAGGATACGACTTTAATAGCATCGGTTAAGCGTTAAGGTCTATAATAGCGCACCACCGATCGACTTCTACGTAGATTGGCGTAGATTGCAGGGGCTCGAACCTCGACAGGCTGGACTACAGAGTCAAAGCGCTTCATACTAGTAGTCCGATGCCCGATGGGGCGGCACGTCTCGCATTCTAGCATCGTCGACAGAATTACCTCGTCGGCCAAATGCGCCAATTTGGGATCTACTGTGGTTGGCGTAAGGACGGACTAACAATGCCAAAGTCATATTCCTTGTCCAAATGTCTGCAGCCAAAGAGACACAAACTACAGGTACACGGGTGCTACAGTACAGCACGCCGGTGTTCTCAGCCATTGATTGATAAAGCCCAGATCGAGCGAAGCTGACACCAGCAAACGAAGCAGATGAATCTTCCTTTGTCGTTGTCTCGACTACGGCATTGAGGCCTTTTGCTACGGCATGAGGCAGTCACCGGTGTCATACGCACATGCCGAAACGTTGCATGGGAGATCACAGAGGTAATTTTGAAGAAGCAAGTCCGAGCAACCGGGGGCGCAGAGCGGAAGACAGCCGACGCCACGCAGACCTTGCGCGTCGCAGTATGTCGAGCCGGCCATGTTGAGGTGGGAGCTCGAGCTGTTGCTTGGAATGTCTGCGATCGGGTTGCCGCCAAAGTACAAGTGACGCGTCGATGTCACGAGCGACGCGGGAAACTTCACTAGCGCATTGCTCTCCATGTAGAGCCACAAGAGACCCGGGAGACTCGCCGCCATATCGTCAGGTAGTGACGTGATCTGGTTGCGGTCCATGGCCAAAACCCGCATCGCGTCCAAGCGCAGAAGGGGCGGCGGTACGCGTGTAAAGCTGCCTTCGCTGAGCCAGATCGATATCAGATCTCGCCACACCACGTCGTCTGGTACGTCGTGTAGCTTTGAGCCAATGAGGTAGACCCACTTGAGGCTGGCCGCGGGCTCGAGTAAAATTTGCGGCACTGTCGCGAGCGCACTGTATCGCACTTCAAACCGCATGAGCGTCGCCGGAAGCGCACTGCTCGGTATGTCCCACGCCCGCAGCTGCGTCATCTCGAGACGAAGGGCATAGAGGCTGGGAAACTGCTGCAACGTGGCTTCATTGAGGCCCATCGGGATGGCGCACTGCTGCACATGCAAATACAGGACGCGCGCGCCCAGCCCGTTCAGGTACCTGTCGACTTGCGTACTGTTGTCGATCTTTTGCGCGACGCAGTTGAGCTTGAAGTAGAGGCAATGACACGCTCCACCAAACCACGGTGCGGCGGCATACACGCACCCGGTCGGGCAGCTCTGCGGTCGTAAAAAGGTCGCGTAGATCGACGTTCCTGCGACAAGAAGGCCCCAGACACTGTAGACAACAACCAAGTTGCGCAGTGTCCGCGGCCGCTCGACGACCGCGTTGATCGTCGAGAACGACTGCACGAGCGTCGGCGACACAAAGAGGCGTGTTGGCGCCACCGACGTTCGATGTCGTAGCCGCCACGTCGAGTTGACGACGCGGGTGACACGGCGAAGCGTGCACCACGTAACGACGCTGGGCATCGCCAACACAAACAGGTGCAAGAGCGACGACGTAATGAGAAGCCGCGCCGGTGGAATGAAGCGCACGTGCCAGTCAAAGTCGTTGTCTTGAAACCCATTGCCGAAGAAGCTGTACATCAGAAGCGGCAGCAGAAAATACACCAGCGGAAAGCACGTGCCGAGGAGGAAGCCAAGGAAGCAGTCGATCACGTCGACGAGGAGCGTCTTGAGCCGCACGTCCGAGACGAAGACGACGTAGGGCGTGAAGAGACAGTTGGCGCTCAGCACCATGGCGTAGAGACACGACACGTGTTGCTGGACAATCGAGTCGGCGAGGAGGTAGGCAAAGTAACTCTCGCAGCCGACTTCGACAAAATGCGACAGCATGATGTACGAGTTGGCCGAGAGGAGCGTCGTCCATGGCGGGCTAAAGCGCTGGAGGATCTGATAGCGCCGTGGCCGCCGACACGCGTTGCGCAGCAGTGCATAGACGTTGAGGATGCCAATGCAAAGAAAGACCGCAGCCGAAAGGTGCATGTAGCTGCCCTGCAGCACGAGGACGTCGACGCTCGACGCGTTGTAGTAGAGCACCGAGAGAATGACAAAGTAGAGCGCCGAAACCAAGTGCTGCAGAAAGACCATCGTGCGGATCACGCGCCGCGCAGAGACGGCCAGGCGCGGCGGCTGCGGTCGGTTGCCCATGCGGCTAATTTTGTCTCCTACGGTTCCATGTACAACTTGACGAAACGTGTATCGGTCGACTAGAAACATCGTCTCTATCTCGGTCGTCGTCGATGGTTTCGTGGAAGAGCATTCTTGACCATCTTCAGCCCTGGTTACTTTCGTGGCGGCTACCCTGGAGCAACGACATGGGATATTGGTACTCCTTTGTACAGCATTACTAAGTATTGCTACGCGCAATCCCGTGATGTCGGTCCCACCACACGGACCGACGTCACGCCTTTCCCAAGGAATCGTAATGATAGACTAGTATCATAAGACACAATTTGACACTCGATTTCGTAGATTTCACGTATCGGGCTTTTTGTTTCCTTTGGCACGGATCGGGGCGGTGCCAGGTCGTGCCTTGAGCACCTTCTTGCCCGCCACCAAGTTGAGTGGCCTGAAAAAGAGCTCCTTGTCAACGTGGTTCTAGGAGTCACTTGAAGGGACCTACCGAAAGGGGCCAGGGGACGCGGGCGCCTCTGTCGTCGCCGTCTCGAGGTGCTGCAGCGTCGCATGCAGCGGCACATTACTTCGATAGACCTATCCCGGATAGTTCCGATCACATATGGATAGATACAAATGCCACTTGCTTTTGAAGCGTGTACGCTCGGATTGATTTTCTTGAGAAGACCAGGGTCGTCGGCGGTAGCGTCCTCGTCGTCGCTCTTCTCGGCCGGGTTCTCGGTCACTTCTTTGTGGCACGACAAGCAACGTGCGATGCAGATGCCATCTTCCTTGGCCTTGTGGTGCAAAATGGCTTCTTCCAACCTACTCGATTGGATCGATCCATTGTTCCAAGTGGATAGTAGGATAGACGCGACTCGTGCAGTGCTTTTACGTCGGCTTTGCGCTTGAGCCACCGCCGATT